CTGCTATATATATATATGCAATTCCCTCGTAAGCCTCTGGATAGGTGAACAGAAAATTGCCAATTGATGCAAGAGAAAAGTTTTTGTATCATCATTCAGATTAGATGAACTTCCCCTAACTTTGTATTTCTCTGAAATTAGCCATACCAGCCTGAAGTGAATAGCCGAACAGTGTTCGGCTCACTTCACTTCAGATCGGTCATTCACTCGGCTGCCCTCGGCAGCTTCGTGAATAGACCCCATAGTGTTACAGGAAAGGAGCTGGGTTTCCAGGTCTTTCCGGGTTTTCTGGAGTATAACTGGGATCTGGGTCTCTGGAGATTTCTAAAAGTCTTGGGTGGAGCCAATTGCCAGGCCAGACTGTCCAAGTGGCTGATAACAGCCCTTTTGCCAGGTGGTTTTGTGTGTGTGCTGGAGGCACACGAGGAACAGCCTGGGGGGCTGGAAGGCTTGGAGAGGCAGAGAGAGCCAGGCACCCAAGGTGTGTGGGTGTGAAATCAAAGGCTGCTGAAAGATGCTCAAAGGCACAGAATATCCCGGATGAGATTCTGTTGAGGAAAACAGTAAGGTCCTGGGACACTGAACAGGATAACCTGTGAATGGTAAGCTGATATGTATGCTGAAGAAAGCTATTTTTGTTGGATTTCCTTTTTCTACCTTTGGAATTAATAAAAGACTTTCCTTTTATCTGTGAAAACGGCTTCATGACTGGCCCCTGAGCGCTCACCATATGTGCTAGATTCCCCCCAATATCATAATATATATACTTTCCTTCCATGGATCTTCTAGATTGTCTTATGATGCCCAAGGTTCCTCCTCTTCTTCTGCACTACGTTCATACTGTATATTGAGGTGTGAGTGCCATATATTACTGTGAGCGCAAGATGACTTGATGAAACACCCCTGGGGGTAAGTCCAAGACAGCCTGGGCTCTCAGGAACCTGGTCGAGTGATGATGGAAGGAGAACCAACTGGTGGAAAAGGGGGACCTTCTGCCGGAGACACCAGAGTCAAGTTGAGTATCACAGCAAAAGCTGCTTTCTTTTTAATTATTTTATCCAGGATTTTATACTTAAAATAATCTTAGCGCTCTGCTTCAACATGTTTGGATGCCACAGAGTTAACATACCTGTAAGAGCAGCCTTTACGGATGCCAAAATGCTATTGTTTCCCTCATTGAACTCCGTTATGAAGCCGATGAAGTATGATTGATTTAACCTGACGGCCAGATGCAGCTGTGGGCTTTTCCATGCTTCCTTCATGTCTTCAGGAGAGCTCTGAGCCGCTTCCTCCTCCCTGCTCCCTCTCTTTATGACCACTGAGGCTCGGGGATTACAGAAAGAAAAGATTTCTCTGGAATGCAATATTCTTGCAAAAGCCGGAGGGGATCCGCTTTAGTCATAAATGTGTGAATTTGCGCATTCCATTCCCAACCAATTTAGACAGGGCTGGGAGAATACTTCATATTGCTTTTGTGGTTTAATATGTACCGCACACACCCAAAAACTGAGGTCACTTTGCTGGGTAGATCAGTATTGATAAGGACACAGCCAATCAGACTGCTAGAAAACAGTGACGTTGGTGAAAGCTATATTGGGGGGTGTCTATGAGAGTCTCTTTAGTAATCAGGCGAGAGCGATTTTACAAAGGGGTGCAATCTGATTGTTTTGCCAATAAATGGATAGGTGGCATTCATAGTGAAGTCACTGGTCTTTAATGGATAGATGGGCTCCATTCTCTGTGATGTCACGGGTCTCTAGTGAATGGATAGGCGGCATTCATAGCAATATTATTGATCTCTAGTGAATGGATAGCCTGCATTCTCAGTGATGTCACCAGTTTCTAACGAATAGGCTGCATTCTCAGTGATGTCACCAGTTTCTAACGAATAGGCTGCATTCTCAGTGATGTCACCGGTCTCTAGTGAATGGATAGGCTCCACTCTCAATGATATCACCGGTCTCTAGTAAATGGATAGGCTGCATTCTCAGTGATGTCCCCGGTCTCTAGTGAATGGATAGGCTGCATTCTCAGTGATGTCCCCGGTCTCTAGTGAATGGATAGGCTGCATTCTCAGTGATGTCACCGGTCTCTAGTGAATGGATAGGCTCCACTCTCAGTGATATCACCGGTCTCTAGTAAATGGATAGGCTCCACTCTCAATGATATCACCGGTCTCTAGTAAATGGATAGGCTGCATTCTCAGTGATGTCACCGGTCTCTAGTGAATGGATAGGCTGCATTCTCAGTGATGTCACCGGTCTCTAGTAAATGGATAGGCTGCATTCTCAGTGATGTCACCGGTCTCTAGTGATTGGATAGGCTGCATTCTCAGTGATGTCACTGGTCTCTAGTGATTGGATAGTCTACATTCTCAGTGATGTCACCGGTCTCTAGTGAATAGGCTGTATTCTCAGTGATGTCACCGGTCTCTAGTGAATAGGCTGTATTCCCAGGGTTGTTGTTCAACTGAAGCAAACAGATTCTCAGTGATATTGCTAATGTTCAATCCATGGGCAGGTGTCATATTTTTTCATGCAGCATGCAGGGCTTTACATCTATTGTAATAGGTTCTGGAATGGCACACAGTGGATGCGACAATGTAGAAACAAGTCCAGTCACTCACCTACGTTAGTATTTTTTATCCCCCTTACCAAGTAAAAGCTTATCTCAGTTATTTCTCTGGCTCTAATTCAAAACCAGCAGCAGCCTTTATTCTGGCAATCCCATCAAGTTGAGGATGCTGATAGCTAGTAAGAAAGCCCGGGCTGACAAAATCTTTTGTTGTTTTGTTAGAAGTGGATGATCTCCGTTGACCTGCCTCATGTAGCATCTCAGTACTCATTACTCCTCTGTGAAGTGCTCCAAGCCCTGCCTGCAGAATCGTCTAAATAAAAGCCGAACGCGCTGAGAGAGTGTTTGGGCCGGCGCTTCTATAAACACACAGATAGAAGGTGTTAAAGCGGTAATTCGAAATAAGGGTAAAATGCCTAGAGCGCTAGATAAACACATATTACCGTCAGATATATCATAACCCATCAAAGTATATACTTAATCACCGAGTTTAGTATCGCCAAAAAGCAAAGCGTTACATCGTGATTTTGAAAAAAACATCCAGCGAAAGCAATGCTATAAAAACAGCAAAACAAATATATCCTTGTCAGAGAAGTCTTCAAATTTCCATAAGATAGAGCCCATAAAATATGATCTATAGGTATCACGCTCAAAAAATATATATATATGCAAATGATTTAAAGTGAACCTGAATTCAAAAAGTGAAGATGCGCTGAGTGTGTGTGTGTGTGTATTTTTCTTACCCTAACACTTCCCAAATCCCTGTAAATTCTGCGAAGGAAGAAACTCATCCAGAAGTTTCTTGTATTTATCAATGTTATCAGCAGATTCCACCGCCTGTGGAAGGGAATTCCAAACTTTCCCCACTCTAACAAGGGAAAACAGGAGCAGCTGAAACACACAAGGGTGGGAAGGAACACCCAAGTCTCCCAAGTGGATGGGAACAAAGTTGGAAATTATGGCGGGGAGGTCTCATGGTTTGCGTATCAAAGACCGTAGTGTAATGAGCGGTGTGCCTCAGGGTTCTGTGCTGGGTCCCATATTGTTCAACTTATTTATTAATGACATCGGGGAGGGTGTTAACAGCGATATTTCCGTGTTTGCGGATGACACCAAAATGGGGAGGGTAATAGACACGGACTTAGACACTATAACATTACAGGAGGACCTGGATAAAATAGGGGAGTGGGCATTAATGTGGCAGATGAGGTTTAATGTCGATAAATGCAAAGTAATGCACTTTGGAATTAAAAATAAACAAATGGGTTATACAATTATGGGTATGCCGCTGGGGAAGTCAGAAATGGAGAAGGATTTGGGGGTCATTGTAGACCACAAACTGAAAGGTAGTTTGCAGTGCCAGGCTGCTGTAAACAAAGCTAGAAGGGTCTTGTCCTGTATTAAAAAGGGGATGTATTGCAGGGACAAGTCTATAATTTTGCCACTTTATAGATCATTGGTTCGACCTCATCTGGAGTACGCGGTCCAGTTCTGGTCACCAGTACTAAGAAAAGATGTCCTTGAGTTGGAAAAAGTCCAGCGAAGGGCAACCAAACTAATTAGGGGTATGGAGGACCAGAGCTACGAGACGAGGCTACTAAATTTAAACATGTTCACATTAGAGGTGAGGAGATTAAGGGGGGATATGATTTCCATGTACAAAATGTTTAATGGTGGCAGCAACATTAGCGATAAACTGTTTAAAATTAACTCCGTTACAAAAACTAGAGGCCATCACCTAAAATTGGTGGAAAAAAAATTCCAGCACAAGGGGCGAAGGGGGTTCTTCACAGTAAGATCAGTTAGGGTCTGGAACTCACTGCCACAGGCGGTGATTTCAGCAAATAATGTGGAATTGTTCAAGAAACTTTTGGACGATTTCTTAAGGGACCGTAATATACAGGGGTACAGGTAATATACAGGGGTACGGGTACTCCTAGAATGAGATCCTAATAGGTTGGACTTGATGGACTAATGTCTTTATTCAACCTCAAATACTATGTAAAGACATACAAGGAACCAAGGGCTGACACAGCGTATTAGGCTCCACCTAGCACTAAAATAAAACCTTTGGGTAGATTTACCCTTTAATTTATGAGTAGCTTATATAGTAAAAGATGGTGATGCACAGAGCAAATTCATAAATGTGTTTATAACTTTGACACAGGAGAGGGACTCCAAAAAATGGGTCAGCCAGGTACCATAAGTGCTAAAAGACTGAGACATTCTGAGGATACCTTCATGTTAGCAAAATGAGAACCCTTCAGGGTATTTATCTAAGGCTGAGAAATCACCTGAAATATTTGAAGAGTACCAAAGGGTTACTAACATGACCAAAGGGTCACCATATACTGTATGCATATAGAATGTGAATGTGGCCAGGAAAATACAGTATGATAATGTATTATTATTTTTTTTTTTTTTACCTGGGTCAAGTCTTCTGTCTTCTTCTTGGTTTCCCCTGGGCTGTCTTGGTGGGGTAGAATAAACAGCTCAGCTGACGTGGGTAACCCTGGCAAGACGGCAACCAAAATCTGCTTACTGATGACTCCCGTGGCCTGCATAGAAAGACAGAGGTAGAAAGACATAAAAAACAGAAACCAGTCAGAGCTGAACCTTCAGATGTGGTCCTTCCCCAAGGAGTCGATAAAAACACTAACCAATCAGAGTTGTGCCTTCAGATGTGATCTGCCCCCCAAAGACACAGCAAATATACAAACCAAATAGAGCTGTGCCTTCGGATATGGTCTGCCCCCAAGGACAGAATACATGTACAAAGCAATCAGAGCTATGCCTTCAGATATGGTCCACCTCCAAAGATACAATAAAACACAAAGAAATCAGAGCTTTGCCTTCAGATGTGGTCCACCCCCAAAGACACAAAAAAAACCACAAACCAATCAGAGCTGTGCCTTTAGATGTGGCTGGCCCCCAAGGAGTCAATACAAACACAAACCAATCAGAGCTGTGCCTTCAGATGTGGTTCATCTCTAAAGACACAATAAAAACACAAACCAATAAAAG